AAAAATGTTTTTAAGATGACCATAGAATGAGATGATGTCTGTTTACCTGTAATCAAGATTTTTGTTTATTTATTGAACTCACCTGTGGCATGACAGTCGATGAAATAATTTAGTTGGAAAACAACAAAAAAAAAAAGAGAAAAATGTTGCAGCCTAAAGCGATACTTAAATTTCGAAAGAAACAAGAGAACTAGCAAATGTAAAGCCCTAAAGTCAGTCACACTGTATTCATCTTGTGGTTTCAAATTGTATGAACATTGTATTTACAAAATGCTGACGCAAATTTTGTCGAAATAAGTCGTGGCACACTTTCACACATTCGTAACCTTTACCTTTTATGGGAAAGAATGGGGAGGGGCCATACCTAATTGGGAACTTCGGAGGTTAAGAAGTATTTGTTGAGGATCTAATTTGTAGAATTCACAAAGAGAGTTTCCTGTATAGAATTTCATCAAGGGGATTACTATGTAGGATTTCGTAAGATTTGCCTGTTGTGATGTAAATTCACTACGAGGATGTAGTGGATATGATTTCATGATGTGACTAAACAACACAAGAATGCTAAAGACTTCCCTTTCATATCATTTTTAGGTAAGAAATTAAGTTCTTTTTGAAATATTGTATAATGACATTATTTTGTTATTTAACAACGTATGAGAATTAGACTGCACCATTCCAGGTAGGAACAGTTACTTTTCGATCAGCCTCAGGTAAATCTGGTAATGATATGGGCTTACTATTGAATATGAATTAACAATTGAGTCATCGGAGATAACATTACATGTAAAGAGAATAACAGTGTACTTAATTGGAATAAGTTTTTCCGTGTATAAAATAAAGTCATGGTTTTCATCACCAGGTTCTACTGGAAAGTATTTTATCAATGCAACCTACTGTAGAAGAATTTCATCTACATAATCGACTTTAGAGGACTTCATCTCCACGATCTTCTGTAGAGGAATTCATCACCACGACCCATGTAATAGCATTTCATCACCACGATCTACTGCAAAGGATTTCATAAATGCGACCTACCGTATGAGAATTTCATCACCATAATCTACTTTAGAGGATTTCATCACCACGGTCTACTGTAAATGCTTTCATCACCACGATCCAGTGTAGAGGATTTCACAACCGCGATCTACTGTATAGGATTTCAAAACCACAATCTCCTGTAGAGGACTTCACAACCGCGATCTACTGTATAAGATTTCAAAACCACTATCTCCTGTAGAGGAATTCATCCCAGCGATCTACTGTTGAGGATGTCATTATCTACTGTAAATGATTTCATAACAAAGACAATTTACTGTAGAGGATTTCACAACCATGATCATCTGTAGAGGATTTTACAACCACGATCTTCTGTAGAGGATTTCACAACCACGATCTTCTGTAGAGGATTTCATCACTGCAACCTACTGTAGAGAAATTCTCACCGCGACCTACTGTAGAGGAATTCATCACGACGATCTACTGTAGAGGAATTCATCACAGCGATCTACTGTAGAGGATTTCATTACAGCGATCGTTTGTAGAGGAATTCATCACCGCGATCTACTGTAGAGGATTTCAATCAAGAATACACAAATGAGGATTTCACAACCACGATCTACTGTAGAGGATTTCATCATGACGATATCTACTGTAGATGAATTCATCACCGCGATCCAATGTATACGATTTCAAAACAAAGATAAACAACTGAGGGTTTCATTACCTCTATCTTCTATAGAGAAATTCACAACAACGATTTACTGTAGATGATTTTCATCACCGCGATCTACTGTAGAGGATTTCATCACCGTGATCTTCTGAAGAGGATATCAATCAAGGATACACAATAGACGATATCACAACCACGATCTACTATAGAGGATTTCATCACGATGGTTTACTGTAGATGATTTCATCACCGCGATCTACTGTAGAGGATTTCAATCAAGGATTTCCAATAGCGGATTTCACAACCACGATCTACTGTAGAGGATTTCATCACCACCATCTACTGTATATGATTTCAAAACAAAGATAAGCAACTGATGGTTTCATTACCACGATCTTCTGTATAGGAATTTCCAACCATGATTTACTATAGAGGATTTCATCACCGCGATCTACTGAGGAGGATTTCAACACCACGATCTACTGTAGACGATTTCATCACCACGATCGTCTGAATATGATTTCAAAACTAATATAAACTATAGAGGATTTCACAACCACGATCTACTGTAAAGGATTTCATCACCGCTATCTACTGTATATGATTCCAAGACACCATAAAGAAGAGTTCATCACCTTAATCATCATAATCTATTGTAAAGGAATTTATCACCAAGATTTTCTGTAAATGATTTAATAACAAAGATATATGTAATAGAATATTTTATTACCACGATATATTATAGAGGATTTCATTTCCAGTCTTTTGTAGAAGATTCCACTGCCACGATATAAAGTAGAGCATTTTATCACTACGATCTAAGGTAGACAATTTGATTACTGCGATATACTATAGAGGATTTCCTCACCATAATAAAATTTAGAGGATTTCATTACCATAATGTAATGGAGAGGATTTTCTCACTTAGATCTTCTGTAGAAGACTTTATGACCATTCTCTTCTTTTGAATAATTCCTCACTAAAATCTACTTCACAGGATTTCATCAACACGTCGAGTGTAGATGATTTCATCACCATACTCTACTTTAAAAGATTTCATCAATAAGATCTCCTTTAGAAGATTTCATTACTAAGATCTACTTTAGAGGATTTCCTCAGCATAATCTTCTTTAGAAGATTTCATTTCCACTTTCTACTGTAGAAGATTTTATCATAATCTACTGTAGACTCTTCATAGCTCCTTGAATATAAATGCATTGATTAACACAATAAAAGACCACTATCACGTGCAAAAATATATAGCAATTAGCAAAGGAGATATTGCTAAAGAAAGTTTTGAAAAAGAATGGAAGAAGTGGGGAAAACTTGTTGCTCTATAAGGTGGGGTTTTTTCTCCTCTTGTTTTTTGTTTTCTCTTCTCATGTGTAAGTTTTTTTTCACCCTTGGCCTTGAAATATATTGCCAAATTCACAACTATTTACTCTTATTCTAATATATTCCGAAAATACATGAACATTATTGCATCCCCCCTCTCTCTCTTGCTCTCTCTCGCTCTCCCTCTCTCGAACAAATAGTTTTCTCACAACATTTTAAATCTCTCTCTCTCTCTCTCTCTCTCTCTCTCTCTCTCTCTCTCTCTCTCTCTCTCTCTCTCTCTCTCTCTCTCTCTCTCTCTCTCTCTCTCTCTCTCTCTCTCTCTCTCTCTCTCTCTCTCTCTCTCTCTCTCTCTCTCTCTCTCTCTCTCTCTCTCTCTCTCTCTCTCTCTCTCTCTCTCTCTCTCTCTCTCTCTCTCTCTCTCTCTCTCTCTCTCTCTCTCTCTCTCTCTCTCTCTCTCTCTCTCTCTCTCTCTCTCTCTCTCTCTCTCTCTCTCTCTCTCTCTCTCTCTCTCTAAACGAGCCTTCCTTTTAAAATGTTATGGCACTATCTTTGTCCTGTCTCTCTATGTGTGAAAGTGTGTGACATTATGTTTTGTTGAATGTATCAATTATACATGTATATTATAAATGATGATGATGATGATGATGATGATGATGATGATGATGTACGGATGATGATGATATATGGATGATGATGATATATTGATGATGGTGATGATATATTGATGATGATGATGATGATATATGGACAAATATAATAAAGATGAGATGATGATGATGTACGGATGATGATATATGGATGATGATGATAGTATATGGATGATGATGATATATGGACGAATTTAGTGATAAGATGGTGATGATGATGATGTACATATGAGGATGATATATGGATGATGATGATAGTATAGGGATGGTGATGATGATATATGGACGAATATAGTGATGATAAGATGATGATGATGTACGGATGATGATGATGATGATGATATATGGACGAATATAGTGATAAGATGATGTACAGATGATGATATATGGATGATGATGATAGTATAGGGATGGTGATTATGATATATGGACGAATATAGTGATGATAAGATGATGATGATGTACGGATGATGATGATATATGGATGAATATAGTGATGATGATGTACAGATGATGATGATATATGGATGATGATTTGATGTTATATGGATGATGATGATGATATATGGACGACTATAGTGATGATGGAAAGATGATATATGGATGATTATAGTGATATATGGATAATGCTGTCGATGATGATGATGGAATGAATTTCACTATTTCAACATGTGTGAATGTGTGTATGTGTGATGATGTCCTGTGTATTGTAAATGTACTGAAAAAAAAATTTGAAAAAAAAATCAAAAATAAATAAATAAATAAATAAATAATCTACTGTAGAGGATTTCATACTAACCATTTATTGATTAGGGTTTATAATAAGGGTCTACCGCGTGAAGTTTTAATTTCACCATGTACTTGTAAATGTAAAATGATTACCTAATGACTAAAATAATTATGTATTCTAATATTGTATTTTGATCAGCTTACACAATATTATATTTATTTATGTAACAAATAGTTATATGGTATTGACGCTCTTTATATCACAATAACATCATATAGCAATGGTTTGAACACACGAGTTTTTGGGGGTAAAATTCCATCTGAAATAATCAGTGTTATTATAACGTATACTGTGATAAGTTCATTGATCTTTTATTCTGAAGTTCTACCTGACTGGCCACTGATTCTTATTGAAAGACAAAGGATTACTATAACAAAGGTAGGGAGTATATCATTATTGTGGGAATATTTGCACACTGCTACTTAATACAAAATCCACCAAGACGGAAATAGATCGATGTCATTTACATACGCTTAGAAACGAACACTAGTGTTAAAGGTATCACAAAGGTTCAGTGCATATGTATAGCACGGTATTTGGCGTAGATCTACGCTAATGCAACAAGCCAGGAATATATTATTGTCATTTACATACGCTTATAATGACATCCACTATACACGGGAAGTATTTTGTCATGTGTAATTTTTTATGCATTGTATAGACACCTCGTTATATTAATAATGCTTGTGTCACCTCTGTTTGGGTATATAGTAACTACTGCCAACAAACAGGCCATATGACAGTTAGAGTTTACAACGATTGTCTGTGTTTCTGAGACAGGAAAATGCAGGCTTTCATTCTGATAATCCCACAAGAACCGAATATACAGTGGTTTCTATGCTAAACAATGTGTTCAGAATGTGACATATTGAACAGACAATTAATTATTCAGTATTCTGATAGTTTGTAAAAAAATATGTGATGGTCTTATTCTGGAAATAGTGTAGGGGATTTATTAGATTACACAGAACAAGTGACCTGCTGACAACATCCATAGTGATGGAAAGAATAGTAAACAACTGCATTACGTGGATTACCCATGGCACTTTACAAAATATCTTGCTGTTCCCCGTCAAATCATGGACTGTTTCTTGGTTTATCAATTTCTGGTAAGTTATCAAACTACATATGATATATCTCCATACAATGTATATGTCGGTGTCATTTACATTCGCTTAGAAACGTACACTATTGTTAAAGGTATCACAAAGGTTCAATGCATATGTATAGCACGGTATTTGAAGTAGATCTACACTAATGCAACAAGCCAGGAATAGATCCATGTCATGAACATACGCTTAGTGACTATACACTATACATAGACACCTCGTTATATTAATAATGCTTGTGTCACCTCTGTGTGGGTATATAGTAACTACTGCAAGCAAACAGGCCATATAACAGCCAGAGTTTACAACGATTGCCTGTGTTTCTTGGACAGGAACAATGCAGGCTTTCATTCTGATAATCCATACAGGATCGATCATACAGTGGTGTCTATGAATGTGAAAAATTGAAGAGACAATAATTTATTCAGTACTGCAAATTCTGGTAGTATGTTAAACCCATGTAATGGTCTTATTCTGGAAATAATGTAGCGAATTTATTAGAATACACAGTGACATGCTGACAACAACCACATTGATGAACAAAACAGTACACAACTGCATTACCTGGATTATCCATGGTACTTTACAACATCTCTGGTTATTTTCCATCATATTATGGACTGTTTCTTAGTGTATCAGTTTCTGTTACGTTATCAGACTTTTCATATCAAATTATACATGATATATCTCCATATATATCGTAAAAAGTGCATAAGATTCGAGTTATTCTAAATGGAAATAAATAGTCTGATTTTGAAGCAGTCAACAGTATTCTGTCATCGATTAAAACTGATTTTTATCTGTTGTTTTGAAAATAAATGAAAATGTATATAATTTTAAAGAATGTATTGCTTATCAACAATATCTAAACCGCTTTTAAAGTACCGTGTTTTGTCCATTTAGATGTTGTGTATGTTATATTAAGTACATAATCTGTGATCAAATTAAAGGAGGATCAATATAGCTCGAGGAGAAGAGGTTTCAGTTAGTGATTTGTTTTTACCAATTTTCAGCTCGTTTCAATTTGCTGTGATATTTATATATTTTTTCTTTTAAACATGTACGCCAAACTTTGTTGAATTCAGATTATCTATCATTTTGTAAAATTAGGGGTATGGGTCTGTCCCTCTTATCCTAGACAGGTTACACATTTCATTTTCACAATATTGATTCCACTTCCCCGAAGGAAGCTCTGCATATGATTAGGTCAAAATCCCGTCAATTATGCTTAAGAAGTAAATAGTCTTTTAAAATATCCTTTATATCCCCTTTAGGGCCCAACCTCTCATTCACTTTTTCTAGGCCTTGCTCTTCATCATTTTACAATACTGATATTTTTGACTTTTGAGCTCCAAATACCATACTAGGTTAAAATACCTTCAATCATACTTTCAATGTCGAGTTCACTTTGCCGAAAAAGTTGCATGTTAAATAATCACTATTTATCCATTTGGGTCTGCGGCTTTGCTTCGACTAGAGAAATATTTAGCTTTTAAAACATAGACGTTTGTTGTCCAGTGATGTTTAATAACAAGTTGTTATATTGATTAAATTCCGTTTCCCCGTGCTTAAGATGACAATTTTGAATATTAAACCAGCCTCCTCCTTCTGGCGACAGCCAATAATCCCCCAATATGAATGTCCATTGTGTTTTCCCCTTTTCATCTTACATATGTTTCTTAAGTATGTTCGTTGTTCAAATAGATAAATAATTACTATCCAATGTATATATATGCGTCATTAAATCAAATTGGGAATTAGACCAGAATATAAACTGACATTTTCGTATTAATAAGGAACAGATGGTAATAACTCTTTATAAGCTGTTAGTGATCCCGAAAGACTCTACGACGGGGGACCGCAGACAGACTTGTGTTGAAAATAATTATAAAAGTCTGTATCTCAGCATATAGAGAGGTGAAAGATTCAATTACAGAACACCACTCTGCTACCTCCAGATACATAAGTACATATATATCATATATTGAGAATGCAGCTTAAATGACATGGACATTATGCTCATGGCGAATTTTGGTAAAAGGGGAGGGTAACAACTTTGTACATGAATCGTATAAGTCTCATTCTTCCTCCTTATATACGTTAGTGTAGCAAATTTCGAAAACGTGGGTGTCATTATCAGGAGAAGTTTGCCCCGAAGAAACCCATTGTTGGTACCCCGAGCTAGCCAGACAATCCTAACTGCAAACACGTCCCGTCATATCCGGACGTATAACATATTAGGTCAAGATTAATGTTGATTAGAATTCACAAATGACAAAGTAAAAATTAGTTGATGTTTTCGGCGTAATAACTTGACCCCATTTGAAGATGTAATATAATTTTACTGAAACTTTTCTGCCGCATATACCGATATATCATAACGGCACGGAATATATCATTATTGTGGGATTATGTGCAAACTGCTACTTAATACAAAACTCACCAAGACTGAAATAGATCGATGTCATTTACATACGCTTAGAAACGTACATTATTGTTAAAGGTATCACAAAGGTTCAGTGCATATGCATAGCACGGTATTTGGCGTAGATCTACACTAATGCATCAAGCCAGGAATAGATCAATGTCATGAACATACGCTTAGTGACATCCACTATACACGGGAAGTATTTTGTTATGCGTAATTTTCTTGTGCATTGTATAGACACCTCGTTATATTAATAATGATTGTGTCACCTCTGTTTGGGTATTTCCTTATGTATTGTATCGACACCTCGTTATATTAATAATGATTGGGTATATAGTAACTACTGTAAACAAACAGGATATATGACAGCCAGAATTTACAACGATTGCCTGTGTTTCTGGGACAGGAACAATGCAGGCTTTCATTCTGATAATCCAAACAGAATCGAACATACAGTGGTGTCTATGAATGTGAAAATTTGAAGAGACAATAATTCATTCAGTACTGCAAATTCTGGTAGTATGTTAAAACCATGTAATGGTCTTATTCTGGAAATAATGTAGCGAATTTATTAGAATACACAATGACATACTGACAACATCCAAAGTGATGAACAGAACAGTACACAACTGCATCACCTGGATTATCCATGGTACTTTACAACATCTCTTGTTATTCCCCATCAAATCATGGATTGTTCCTTAGTGTATTAGTTTCTGGTAAGTTATCAGACTTTTCATATCAAATTATACATGATATATCTCCATATATACCGTAAAAAAGTGCAAAAGTTTCGATTTTTTTTCTATATGGAAATACATAGTCTGATTTTGAAGCAGTCAACAGTATTCTGTCATCGATTAAAACTGATTTTTATCTGTTGCTTTGAAAATAAATGAAAATATATATAACGTTAAAGAATGTATTGCTTATCAACAAAAACTAAACCGCTTTTTAAGTTCCGTGTTTTGTCCATTTTGTTGTTTTTTATGTTATATTAAGTATGTTAACTGTGATCAAATAAAAGGAGGATCAATATAGCTCGAGGTGAAGAGGTTTCAGTTAGTGATTTGTTCTTACCAATTTACAGCTCGTTTCAATTTGCTGTAATATTTATATATTTTTTCTTTTAAACATGTACGCCAAACTTTGTTGAATTCAGATTATCTATCATTTTGTAAAATTAGGGGTATAGGTCTGTCCCTCTTATCCTAGACAGGTTACACATTTCATTTTTACAATATTGATTCCACTTCCCAGAAGGAAGCTCTGCATATGATTAGGTCAAAATCCCGTCAATTATGCTGGTGAAGTAAGTAGTCTTTCAAAATATCCGGGTCCAACCTCTTAAGTACATAATCTGTGATCAAGTTAAAGGAGAATCAATATATACTAGCGGAAAAAAGAAACTGTGCATGCGGAGAATTGTTATAGAACAAGTATTACCAACTGTATATACATGAAAATTCACACACATGACCGGGTATGACACATACACACTATCTGTGTGTCATTGACAGTTTTTCCTGTGCAGTTTGATCTCTATAGGCGTTGACCAGTTTGCACGTTTTTCTCGTCCAGCCATCCAATTCGACAATAAAAAATTATTTTTCAACTGTTGGGTCACTCTGTTGAGACCAGTAAACAGTAAAAACAGCACTATAATGTTTAAATTTGTGATTAATGCTATACCGAGGCTCAATGAAAATGACCGCCTCCGGATCATTGGTATGCTTCAAGCTGGTATGGGCCAAGCCGTTGTATCTACACGTTTCATGTCCATCGAAACACAATCCAGGATTTGTGGAGACGACATCAACAGTTTGGCGATCGACCTCGTGCGGGACGTCCACGTGTGACGTCACGTCAACAGGACAACCATATTCGGCTTGTCCATTTGAGAAAACGCTTCCAAACGGCAAGTTTGACTGCACGAACAATCCGTGGGTTGCTACAAATAAGCCCGAAAACTGTACGGAACCGATCGTGTGAACGAGCTATCCGTCCGCGACGTCCTGCAATCCGCCCAGTTCTTCTGCCACGTCATCGTGTAGCACGTCTAGACTGGTGCAGATGCCATCTGCGATTTACTCGACGGGATTGGGCAGGCATTTTGTTTACGGACGAGTCGCGAGTCCATCTGGATAGTAGTGACGGCCGTTCCAGAGTGTATCGTCGCGTTGGAGAACGTTTCCGTGACGCGTGTGTGTTACAACGACGTTCTTTCAGCGGAGGCAGCGTTATGATTTGGGGCGGCATCACAGCCAACGTGAGAACGCCTCTGGTAGTTGTTAACGGGAATTTGAATGCGCTACGTTACCGTGACGAGATCCTATGGATCCACGTCGTTCCATTCGTGCAAGGGCAGCAACGTCACATTACGCTACAGCAGGACAACGCCCGGCCACACACAGCTCGTGCCGCTATGGACTTTCTGGCCCAGCATAACCTTGACGTGTTGCTCTGGCCTGCTGTATCCCCCGATTTGTCGCCAATTGAACACGTCTGGGATGAAATGAAGTGCAGATTACGGGCATTACCTAAACAACCGCTGACGTTGGCTGATTTGGCTGCAGCGTTGGTACAGATCTGGAATGCCATCCCAGAAGCATTCTTGAACCGTCTGATAGGCTCCATGCGTCGACATTGCCAGGCTTGAATTCAGGCAAACGGTGGACATTTGAGGTATTATACTTGTGAACTCAGTATTGATGCCTGCTGTGTTTACGTCACTCCTGAGCGGAACTTATTGATTCCATAACGTGGAAAATGGACTGCAACTGTTAATTAATTAACAAATGAATTGTCCCTGAAAACCTTGTTGTTCTACGTCATACACATTTATTGTTTTAACACATTTTAGGCATGCATAGTTTCTTTTTTCCGCTAGTATAGTTCGAGGAGGAGAGGTGATTTGTTCTTAACAATTTTCAGTTCGTTTCAATTTGCTATGATATTTAAATTTTCCTTTTCTTTTAAACATGAAAACCAAACTTTGTTGAATTCAGTTTATCTATTATTTTATAAAATTAAGATTTATAGGGGTGGGAGTCTGTCCCTCTTTTCCTAGACAAGCTACAAATTTATTTATACAATATTAATTCCACTTCCCACAGGGAAGCTTTGCGTATAATTGGGTAAAAAATCCTTCAATTGTTCTTAAGGAGTAGTCTTTCAAACATATCCTATATATCCCCTTTTAGGTCCAATCTTTCAATCATTTTTATTGGCCTTGCTCTTCGTCTTTTTACAATGCTGAATTGTTTTGGTTTATTGTGCTCCAAATGCCATAATAGGTCAAACTACCTTCAATTATATATAAAACCAAACCTTTCATTTATTCGCTATATCGGTATATATACTGTAAAGACGTAAAAGTCTCATTCTGCCTCCCTAGATACGTTAGTGTAGCATATTTGGAGAACGTGGGTGACATAATTAGAAAATTATGCTCCGCAAAGAACCCTTGTTGGTACCTAGACAACCAGACAAGCATAACCACAAACACGTTCCGTCATTTCCGGACGTATAAAAGCTTTAGTCAAGTTTTATGTTGGGTAGAATTCACAAATGACAAAGTGAAAATTAGTTGATGTTTTCGGCGTAATACCGTAACCTCGTTTGGAGGTGTTAATTTTACTGAAACTTGGCTGCCGCATATACCGATATATCGTTAAGCCTAAGAAAACAACAAATATCATATATATATCATAAGTGTATTGTGATATAAATAGTCTCTGAGGTTTCATATTTATTTTCCAAATATAAAAGGTCTAGATGTAGCTTGTAGTAAAAGACGGCATGTGTCAGTTACATTAAAAACTTCCAAAGGACCATGAGTCCTAATGTCATTATATTCGGTCTGTAAGCTTGCAGGAGTTTAAGCCTTATCATATTTGAATAAATACAAATATAAATGACATAACGTACTTTCAATGTCGCGGTGTCCAAGGTTTAAAGATAATTTCAAACCACCTGAAATGGCTATATGGTGAGTACAATGTTTGGTTTGTTTAATTTCTTGATATCAAGAATCTTGATTAATATAGGTGCTGCCATACATCGTATTATGTGTATTAATACAAAACAGTAGAACAGAGGAATGGACTGATGATATAAGGTATTTAGATTGTTATAAACTCGCCTTTCAGTGAGAGTTAACCAAAGTAGGAGTCAAACAGTTGGCCATGTTCAATGTATAGTTTATATTCATGTGAGAATAAGCATTTATAAGTTCTCGTTCCATTCAAGTTGGTTAGTTTTGTAAGTTGTATAATAGGTTCTCATAGTAATGTTTAGAAGTTCAATAGCAGTAAGTGGTGATATATATATATATCATCATAGATAAATAATAGTTCTATTATATATTAACAGGACCTGTGACATATAACCAAGATGTCAGACCAGGATGAGCTGTACCAGAAGTCTTGGATTCTGCATCATGTTCTGGACAGATTAATAGGGAGCCGGGAGGAGGTTGCAATAAGGAGGAGAATGATATTTATAAGGGAGTATATAGAACGCGACAAAACCGTCGTTGAATTTAACACAGGAAGCATGGGTGAAGGTGTCCACATGAACGGTTCTGATGTAGACATTATGCAAATTGACAACAATGTGATTGTTATATGCCCTGACCAGCACACCAGTGTTTCACGAGGTAGAACAGATAAAACAATTTTGATTATGAGAGCTAGTGACAGCCGACCTGGTTATGTAAATTTGGAACTAGATCAAAGAGGACAGATATCCAGTGAACTCTTAGTTGAATCCATTGTTCGAGATGGAAATAAACTTTTCATATCAAGTGAAAAATTTGCACGAACTTTTGCGAAAACATGGGGTCTTATGGGAAAAGTAGACCTGGAAAATAAAGGCCCAGCTGCTAGTATGGATTGTAAATCTAGTTACCTTCCATTTGATGTAGATCTTGTACGTTCTTTTCCGTGTTCTAGCTGGCCAAAAGAAGCCAATGAGTGGTTGAGTAGGCCTCGCTTTTACGAATGGCCAAATAAAGCGTTGAGAGATCAGATAGAACAAGGCGGTTGTCATCTTGTCCCTGTAGGAGATAAAACGTCTGCTGGATCATGCCTACAATGGCGGATTTCATTTACAACTGCTGAAAGGAAGCTCATGTATTCTTTCACGCATCAGCAATTTTTAGTATATGGACTTCTCAAATTCTTCCTCAAACAGATATCTGAATCATTGAAAGGGATAACTGCGGACGTAGATCTTCTGACATCATACATCATGAAAACAGTGATATTCCATGCTTTAGAACAAACACCTACCTCATTATGGCAAGAAAAGAACACATTCATCTGTTTCATGATTTGCTTGAATATTTTGATCGCTTGGGTGAAAGCAGGATACTGTCCAAACTACTTCATTAGCAGAAACAATATGTTCAGTGGAAAAGTTCAGGGTAGAAATCAACGAATCCTCCTACGTTGGCTCATTATGCTCCATGATTTGAAATGGGAATGTCTTTCAGGAGTAACACACATATCTATAGTAATGCGTATGCGTCTTATTATAAGTGGAAAGTTGGAATATATGCCTCCGCCAAAACAATTAGAGAGGGAACGCGACATGCTAATATTCGAAGGAACAGTTACAAGTCTTTTTAACTATGATATACTTCCTAAGTCATTGGCATTACTGGCTAGATCAACGTCTGACCTGGATAAATTTGTAACGCTTTACTATACAGTACAGGCACTGTCCTATATGGGGATGGATACTTTCGAGGAGCACACGTCTGCGCGAGGTAATAAAGAGAAGTACAAATCTTTCAGGAAATCAAAGAACTTGTTGACACCACTCGCCTCAGCGTGTAAAAGTCCAGGACAACTGATGTTAGCAACATATTACTATCAGACTGGAAATTACATGAGAACACTGGAGTTGTGCGGACACATGATCTCGTCTTTCACAATTTATATTGGCGAATGTTCAGAGGAAAATGGTAGTAACAGGTATGAACAGCATTATTGTGGGCATGGTTATACCCTGCTAGACAAATGTCAGAAGACATGTGTATCGGATCTCAGGTTTCTGCAAAACAATGTACTGTTCTGTCCATCGCAGTTACACCCGGAAATGACAAAAGTACATGATGGTGATGTACTTGTGATCCCTCCACTCCCCTATGCTGTATTCCTGTCATTCTTGTGTTACTACGAGCTTGGAGACACCAGGAGACGGGACACAGCATTGACGCGCCTTCGGGTGGTGACGTACGATGCGGAACAGGGGGGTGGTCAACACTGGATAGTCCACAATCTCTTGGGGATATGCTATGAAATGATTGGGGACACATCCAGGGCTTTCAGGGAATACAAAAACTCTCTTGGCGGTCGAAGACAGCGTCCACATTATAATCCTTCCGAAGAGAGGATGGAGCGTTTGCAAAATTCAAAATATAACTAGCATAGGAACATCAGTTCAGTGTAGAACTCGTGTAGAGAAACATACCATGATTGAGAGTAGTTGGATCACATGACATACTTAAGAAACAGTTGTTAAAAAATTAGATAAGCTGGCAGTGTTATAAACGGAACTGTTTTTTTGCCTCAATATAATGACATTTGCTTTGTTTGTATTTATTTGGAAGTTTTTAGTCAAGAAATTGTATACTTCGTTTGAAAAAGGGAAGACGATTTTTTACCCAGTATAATCAATGTTATAAAATAAATCAAAACATTCGTATTGCTGGTCTACATAAGATATATTTCATGTTTTTTCTGAAGACAAATTTATTACTTTTGCCCTGTCCAGATCTCGACCTCATGTACAATATTGTGTTGATCAGAAGTTTACATCAAATTATGTTTACTGCAAAGGCCAGCCTAAATGGTTAGCATGCCATGAACCATGTACAGTAAACTATTCTTAAATAAGTTCGATTTGTTTCATGAGACATGTAATTATTTTAACAAGTCTAAAATCTCTTTTCGAAACGGTAAATATTTCCAAAATTCTAGAATTACTTGAAATTTCTTAGCCTGTTCCAATGGATAAAACTGCCACTTTTGATATAGAAATATCATATGTCGTTTACATTTTCTTTCCTTTTCCTTTTCATAATTTAATCGATTATTTAATTGGACATAAAGACATCTTCTGTGGTACTGTGCCGATAATGTACTAGTATTATAATTATTTAAGCACAAGGCTACCACAGTTGCTAGTCTAATGGTTCCTCACAATCATTGTATAATTTAATACAAGTTAAATATATCACAATAAAAAAGGCCAACCTGAGTTATAAATATAGGTACTTTTCATTGCTTATGAAAAATAAAATGGAAATAAAATTGTAATCAAATGAAACTAAAGGGAAAAAAACTCAAATTATTCTAATAAATTGTTTCGGCAATAATTGAGAAATAATTGTTTTTGTCATTTTGGAAAATTTTCCCATTCGGTCTACAAACGGGGTAGGTCAGAATGTTACTTTCTGATTCTCATCTTATCGCAATTTCATCATTATTTTCATAAAATTTGAAATATGTCCTACTGAAAATGCATCCAATACACTCAAAAGTGTGTCTTTGGCAAACTTTATCCCCCCTAATCAGTCAAATGGTGACCCAGGATAATTAATTAACCAATTAAATACAGCACCTAGGGAACTTTCCATCCGTGTAGTTTAATTGATTTTGGTAGAACTTAGTCTGGAGATTTCTTTTTCTAATTTAAGCAAATGATGATGATGATGATGATGATGATGATGATGATGATGATGATGAAAAAAATGGAATTGAAGTTGTATTTAGCCGGAAAAAACTATATGTGATACATACACATACAGATACTCACATGTGCAACTTTTGTAAAAGCTTGTTCTGTGGTAGCGAGGGGCTACTTGCTGTTCATAGTCTTGTTGTGCACGGTATAACAGTTATGTAGAGACATTCAACCTATGATAAAATGAAAATTTCAAAAAACATAAGACTCAACAAAAAACTTGTTCAAATCTCGAGGGTTTGAATATGAAACTATGACAGCACATGCAGAAGCCAGCTAACAAATATCATAAACTTGGAATGACCACATTTATTATACCGAACAATGAAATAGGGCTTAATGCTGAATTGTGCTTTAAAATGTGTGAATAATATGCTATGTAACTTGTGCTAAAATCTGTGGTGTACTTTTACACATGAGGGTATGCTGAAACAGGTTATTTAAGTTTCAATTTGAAACTTTTTAGAGATATTGAGTTTTTAAACTTAAGTTTAATCATTGCTTTCTGGTAGCAGTGTACAGTAGAGGGTTGTGGCCATAGGTGATATTTTTGTTAAATGGCTAACCCCTGTATGATGATATGTAAAAAAAATATTAAAATAAAACTGTTCTTAAATTGGTATAAGCATGATGAAGTGGGCTATGTGAGCTTCACATTTGTAAAAAAAGATAAAAATGTTTTTGGTTCGAGAATAAAATTTTGGCCATAACCGAAAGGGTGCCTACACATGAAAAGCTAGCTTTACAGGAGGTACAATTTTGACAACAGCACACGATGCAAAATTGCAAAAAATCAAGTTTGACAACTTTGCTTGGACCCAGATAGTTCTGCAACCAAGTAGGTAATCTTTAATCTCAGACAGAAAATTACTAGTACCGGGGGTCAATTTTTGGGTCCGAAATAGCATTTTTTGGTAATTTTTGATGTGGTAACCATGTTTTCACACAAGTGACATACATAGAAAAAAAAACAGGTTTATACACTTATCAGTACCTTATATGTATATATATATATACATGTATATATGTGTTGTGTAGGGTAAATCCGCTGTGTTTACATTTCCTCGACATGTGCCTTGTTTTTCAGAGTCGGACGATTTCTACTGTACACTGCTACCTCTTTTAAACATAGAAATAGATATAATTTGAATGAGGGAAGTGGCCTAAGAATGACTTAGAACAGGGGGTTGGAAAAGGAGGGGGAGAGTGGGTGGAGGGTGGGGGGATGAAAATTTTGCAGGACAGCACACTATATTTCTGTTCTATGAAGATTAAGGTGCTAAAAGCTAGTACACTGATCATAATAGTACTATTGAAATACATGCAGATACATTATTTTAGTAAATTGAACACAATCCTAATAAAAACCTGAGTATAAGGGTCAGTCCAACTATACTGGCCTTAGCACAGAGTCATATTTAGCCCAGATTTAACCCAATTATTATTGTTTTATCAAGTTATATATATATTCACATACTGAACAAAATGTGCTTAGACCAAATAACAGTGGCTGTATTTAAAAAAAGTGTCTTAAAACACACAGAAAATGTGTGAAAGGTCAGGTTCATTGAGCACATGGCTATTTCCCTTAAAGGATTCGCACAACTAAATCATTTACTAGATGTTATTACCAAACGTATGCAACACTTGCTGATTGGCTTATTTAGTTGTGTGAGTCCTTAAGAACGGGCATTGCCTTCATTGTCTCATCTGAATCACGTTTTTAATTGTGTCTTTCGTTAGATACTTTTACACTTATGAAATTTCTTAACCTATTCTGAGTCTATTACATATCGTTTTCGGTTTTTTTTATCCTAGTTTATCCTTTCTTGTGATAACTGAACTTATTCCAAAATTTGTTTTTAGCTCGTTCTGCAATGCCATCCTGTTAACAAAGTTAATATTTATTCACAGAATCACTGATGACATATTTGCCTTTTGTACTGTTTGTTTGTTTGTTTGTGTTTAATGGCCCATCGACGGCTGTGGTCATTTAGGGCCATGGTGATATTTTTTTCTTTTTTGAACACACATGTGAGTAGCGAAGATAAAATCAGATAAAAAGGTTCATTTTAAAAGCATTCGCATTGTATGTGTAGATAATTAAATATAAGGGGGTTAAAATAATAAAAGAGATAACGAATAGATGATATGGAATATGTGATATATATAACAGTAAGGTGGGTTAAAAGACATCAGAGTCTATAGAATAGACTGATGTCTTTCAAATAGTTAAATAATGCCTTCGAGTACACGGAGCTGAAAAGAGTTTTCATATCCGGGACTCGAAAGTAGTTATCACGAATGTGTTTAAATTGGAACATTCTATTGGAAAATGTTCCACTGTAAATGGAGTGTTACATGCGTGACAGTCACATGAAGGTGGATATTCTCGTTCAAATGTACGAATGAGTAGGATATGTGTGCCCAGTACAGAGCCGAGCGAAGACAACTTCCTCTCTACGATATATTCGACTTGGAATAGATGTTTTAAGTTTCGGCTGTACTTTAAAAACTTTGTTGCTGGTCTCTCGAGACCAGCGTTGCTGCCATTCATTTTGAATGGCTGTACGAATAATAGGTTTAAAATCTGTATATGGTAGTTTGACATTTGTTTGTTGGAGATTTAATGCATATTTTGTTTCGTTGCATTTAATTCCGACATGGCTCGGAATCCATAGTAAATTTATTTTCGACTTATTTAAGATACGAGATATTCGAAGAACAAGGTTTTTGTATGAGTGTGTTTTTAGGATCTAGTAACTGTAAACTCTGTAGGACAGATAGAGAGTCAGAACAAATGATCGCCTTTTTAATGCGGTTTTCATCGATATGGTCGAGGGCCAAACCAATGGCGCATGCTTCGGCAGAAAAGATGGAGGCGCCGTCTGGTAGTCGAACTGAAGTGTATAAACAGTACATCAGGCTGCTGCCACTTTCTCACATTCTTTGGAACCATCGGTGTAAAGTTGTGTATGAGAAGGGTAATTCGAAATGCATTCCCGAAAGGAGGATTTGTGTTCTTCGGGCATAACATTTGATTTCCCTCGCTCATGTAATGTAAAGTTAAAATCAGGTGTATGAATGGTCCATGGAGGAACATCAGATATGTAAAATTCAGCTATGTCAGTCAACTTTTTGTTGAGTTCTTACAGGAAATTTGAAATAAGAATACCAAATGTTGGCAGAAGTTTTTGGTTTTGCTTATATATGTTTTGGTATTTTGGGTTGAATACTTGGTCGAAAGCAGGATTTTTAGGGTTTGATTTTAATTGAGCTGCAAACTGTAATGCAAGTTTTTTTCTTCTGTCATATACGGATGGGGTCTAGCATCTGCAGGTACGAACTGCGCGCCGACCCGTATACAATAGAACCATAATCCAGTTTTGTTCAAATAAATGATCTGTATAGGCGCAAAAGCATTTCATGGTCCGCTCCCCAATCAGTATGAGAAAGGACTCGTATAATGTTTAACGCCTTCGAACACTTATCCTTCAGACACTTTATATGTGGTATGAAAGAGAGTTTCGAATAAAAAATGAGACCGAGAAATTTAGTCTGTTCAACAACAGGAATTCTAGTGCCTTCGAGTGTAAGATTTGGGTCATTGTGTGCTTTTCGTTTTTGAAATGCATGCACACAGTTTTAGATTTAGAGAATTTGAAGCCGTTTTCGTCTGCCCAATTTTGTAGTTTGTTTAAACTCTGTTGAAGTTGTCGTTCTATCGTGTGCATGTTCTTAGATCTGTACATGTCACAGATCAAGAAGTCATCCACAAATAACGACCCTTCTGTTGATTGACCAAGACATTTGACTATATCATTGATTTTAAGACCAAACAGGGTGACTGATAGGATTCCACCCTGTGGGACTCCAATTTCCTGTTTAGACGTTTCAGAAAAAGTTGAACCAACACGGACTTTGTACAATTATACTTATGATGGTTTGAGCGGTCGAGAACCAGTATATGATTGACAATACGTAAGAGTAAATGGGAGGTAGTGAGAATGTATAGTGATCTGCTGTAATTGGAAAACATTCCTTTGAAAAATAAACAATTGCAAAAAAAATAAAACCTTGGTTGAGTTTTCCCATTCAGGTAGTAACTCGTGCTTTATATTTCAGTGCAAGAATAACTGTTTCCTGCCAGAAAAAAAAGAAACATTTTGTATTCCATAGCACTCAATATTTTAATTTAGCAGGAATAACTTTATGTGTGAAACACATGAAGATCTTACCATGACTGTTTCGTCGACAAATTATCGTTTTGGACATTAATCTCGTTCAACCACCAGACGCTTGATCACTTGTAATTCAAGAGTCTGGTCAAACACTGTACTTTAAAAATACCATCACCAGAGGGCAGTGTTTTTACTATCGTTTCCGGACGTTATGTCAACGCCGTTTAATCATTTCAAAGAATAACTAATTAATGAAAAAAACACCTTACCTGTACATGCTAGTATCCGTTTATTCACTATTATCGAGAAAATGTAAGAAAATGTGTCGAATCTCAAGAATAATGCCATATATTTCCACTGAAAAAAACATAACTGAGCACAAAGCCAACAAGGCTAACTGAGGTTGGAAAAACATGCAAAACAAGTGAGATTTTACCTGTACACCATTCAAAACACTACAGGTTCTCAATCAAGTATTCTGGCTTGACTTGTGTCCATAGCTTGTTAGCTTCATGAATTATTGTAAAATATCCAATGAAAATATATGCAATCATTCTTGAGATTTGAAGCATTTCCTTACATTTTTCTCAAAAAAAAAAGTGAAAACACGGATACTTCAGGAACGCATGTACAGGTAAGTTTTTACATGAATTAAAATATATTCAATGCGATATTGCGCCACTCAAATTCTGACTTCAAAAGTTGAAAAGGGTGTGTCTACATTTGACCAATGAAATAATTTGCCAGAATTCTGGTAAGCCTCTTTATGACTTCACAAAACGATATCATTGGGTTTGACCAGACTCTTTGTTTGGCGTAGCATGCGCAGACAACAAGAGTCTGGTTGAACGAGACTATTTGGACATCGGAAGCTTGTGCAGCGGGGGTTACTTCCCCTTGATCGTCTTGGTGGCGAACAAACTTGACCTAGCTGATAACCATCGGATTCTTTTACGAACGGGCCCGCCTTTATTGTCTCATCTGAATTACGTTTTTAATTGTGTCATTCGTTAGATAGTTTTATACTTATGAAAGTGTTTTTGACCTTGTAATTTTTCGGGTGATTATTGAACTTATTCCAAAATTTGTTTGAGCTCGTTCTGCAATTCCATCCTGTTTACTAAGTTAACATTTAGTAACAGAATCACTGATGACATATTTGCCTTTTGTACATACTCATGATGGTTTAAGCGGTCGACAACCTGTGTTTCCTGAATATCTTCAGAATTATATTCAATATTCTTAAATAGTTGATAGCTACTTGTTTTACATATTTAAGCATCTGAATTGTCACTTATCACGTTGCTTGACCATCTTAACATTGATGTAGAAACTGAACTGGTAATGGTTGCTTGCCTACACTAACAATTA